CGTCGCAAGTCTTTCGTCTTCTCTTCGCTCGTCTCTTCTGCTTCTTTCCTCTGTGTCGCTAGCCACGCAAAATTTACTTTTCTAAATTTGTCCATTGTTTAAAATTGTGAGCTGTAAAAAATCGAGAGGTGCATAGCGCAACCACAGCGATAATGCGCCTTATCCAAAAGTAAAATTATGTGTGGAATTTACCGTTATGTGTGTTCTTTGAGTGTCACCTTGCTGACTACGCAGCAAAGTCTTTAAGTTATGATGCAGTCCTCTCCAACGCCAATCCGTCGTAACTCTCACCAAGTCATCTTATTTCAACATAAACGCAGTTTTTTTTCACATCTAATGGAACAGTTTTATTACATATATATAGACATTAGATGATTTCAATGAATCCAGGTAGCGTACTTTCATATGTCCAGTTAGTAACTAATAAAAATATTAATGAATCTGCGTTTATTGTTTTGAATCAAGTACTTTGTTAAGTAATAGCAGAATAAATTTAAAAGAAAAATTAAATACCATAATCTTTACTTAAAGACAAAATGCTACCGCGTGTAAGATAAAAGTATTTTAATTCGAGCAGTGGCAATACATTTCTTTTTATGTCGCTGAGTTTGTCAATTATATTCGTTAGACAGATATATTGTGAATGCAACACACTTCTCTTATATCGCCGAGCTTCTGATTAAATTTGAAATAAATATCTTACCTTTTACAGAGTGGCAAAAGAATTTGCAGAATGTAACTCGTAATAATAAGGCTTATAAAATTTCATTGATAGTATTATTGTATTTTAAAAATTTACACCTTTTATGGATGAATACTTCCAGAATTATTATATTAATGATTAATAATGTATAAAATACTTTATATTGGAACTAAAATTTTCAAAAGTGGCTAATATCTAGTTATCTGTACACGTGCAGCTTTATACTATATTGAGGATTCTGGAATTTATATGAAAGACTGCCTCATAGCGATCCATAACTTAAAATCTCGTCAAACGTATTTCCCTAGAGAAAATCAAAGGAATGACATAGGAGAAAAAGGTCGAACTCGTTTTTGCAGGATTACGAAACATAACACCCAAAAAGTAACTGAAAGCTTTGAAGATGTAGGAGAAAGAAGAAAAATAAATCACAAACTGAGCTTAATAATGCTAAACAAACGCATGTTTAGGTGTACGAGGCTTCAGAATGTTAGATCTAGAAGGCAGTTTAGGGTGCGAGGCTTCAGAAACGGACAGGAATAGAACAATAAAAATTATATACTACGCATAGTCAGAGTAAAAGGAGATAGGAAAAGCCTCTGATGTAGCAGAGGCAGGTATTCAATTCTAGCAGGTATTCAATGTAGATTTTATATGAAAAAATATCGTTACACAAAACGTGTTTGAAGATTCTGTCTTATTTGTTAACAATTCGATTATGCAGTCAGCCAGAGCTTTTCATTTTAGCATTTTTTAGATATCTGTTAAAGGCAAGATGCTTCAAGAAATTTCATGCCGCCGTAAAATTCCGAAGCATATCCCTTTGTCCACTTGAGATGTACCAAATTTGTTTTAAATACTCATTTTTGCCGAATTTGTCGAATTTATTACTATGTTAGGTTATTGATAGTTTATGCTTGTCCGATGCGTCCAAGTCAAACTTCCATTAAGAATAGCAACTACGTTAAATAGCCTTCTTAACTTACAGTTCAAAACGCAGAGATTTTTTCCGATTGCGTTTCTTTCTATCCCTTATCTGATAAAATCAGTAACTTGGAACTCTTACGAATAAATACTAAGTTATCATCTAGTAGTATGAGTCTTAGACCTTTTACGCTTTATTCTGTAATTTCTTGCTGAGCTACTATTTTTTATTTTTCTAAATTTAAATCCAGACTTACATCGGTTTTATAGAAAGCTTTGATTTTTTTGTGAGATGAACTTTCTCAAAAGGAAAAAAAAAAAAAAAAAAAAAAAAAAAAAAAAAATCTGCGATATAAGCCGGAAATGAATCTTTTAACCAGGCGAAATAAAAATAAAATAACAGCGTGCACAGTAAGTTATAACATAAAATTTTGATCTCTTAATTTTGCTTAGATTTAAATTTCAAATTTGTGCGCTTCTTCCCATAAGAAAAAAAATTATGGATTATTATTAAATATATATAAGTTAGTGTCTTATTAAGCAAAAATCCATGTAATATTTAAAGAAAAAATTGAACTGTAGTTAGTTTTAAGATAATTTTTAATTTTATTTAATATCTAGTAGAGACATTAGGTTATTTTTGAAACAGGAAGAAGTGAAAAATGAGCAACGCCTTCTCCGAGAATCGAACCACGGGTCTCTGAAATAGTCGCCCAGTGTGCTGATCCCTACACAACGAAGGCATGCTAAGAGGACAGGAGAAATACCTTAGATACTTCCCCTTTTAAAGGGTAACTGGAGTTTTAGGGGACCCAGTCGCCAAATCTTGGGGTGTGGAGAATCATCATTCACCAACATTTTAGTTCTGGAACCTTTGTACAGACAAGAGGGTTTTTTGAAGTAAGAGAGATGAAAAATGAACAATGCCCTCGCCGGGAATCGAACCGCGGACCTCTGGACGCTGAACTTGCAGACCACTACACTACGAAGGCATGCTAAGAAGGCGGGAGTAAAACCTTATAAGCTGAATACTAAAAGGTAAAAATACTTATGTACCTGCATTAAAGTTCACATTTTACTTCAAAGCTTCAAAACGATGTATGATATGATAATACAAATTTTAAGAGCAGATAAATAAGAGTTCAGAAGCTTCCTTAAATCAAGGCAGTGTTTGTTTAACGCATTCTACTATCTCCAGATATTTCAAAGACAATGTAATAGCTTAAATATTTTACCCCACCCCTAAAACATTTCCGGGAAAATCTATAATTGCATACAACTGAATGATTCCGCTGTAAAACTAAAGGAAAATATTTTAATATTTTTTCAATCATTGTAAATTTCCTTTTCTTTAAACCAAAAATACTCTTTCAATTAAATTTCCTTAGAAGATTTAGTAAATATGTTTGCAACGGAACTTATTCTACTAAATCTGTATAATAATAATTATCGAAAGAAATAAAATTAATCTAGAAAAGTCAAACATTTAAAGGAAATGAAAGATATTGATTGAAATGGGTAATAAAAGAAAATTTCACGTAATTTTATAGCGCCCATTCTATTTAATACTGATGCAAGAAAATGGCAGGAACTGGTGTTTTATTAACTGATAATCTTACTTTATTAAAACTAAAAATTATTGTAAACGTTATGTAATAGTGTGAGTATGGTAAAATTGTATGAAGTGGGAAGTTTCTTTAAGCTGGAAATTAATCAATAAAAATGAAATATGTTTCATAAATATACATAAACAATGGCACTTTATGTAATCGTTCCTCAGCCCCACATTTTGCTTTGATACTTTTATTTCGCGTTAGGAATAAATGCGAAATTACAGACTAGTGAAAATATTTTAACATAAAATAATCGTACACTTGTGGCTGGGATTAAAGATATTAGTCAAATAAAGTAATCTTTCATATTGCGCTAATCTTGACCATGTTAAATCGTTTATAAAGTCTTATATAAGTGATAATTTATATATCTATTATACGAGTTTCTTTGAGGTTTTTTTTAAAAAAAAAACAACTAACAACGAGGTAAATATTTTCCTGGAGTTAGTAAAGGGGAAAAAACGTTATTTATCATTATATAGCTGTGATTACCTAATTATCATTTATAAAGAATGTCTTACAGATATTTCCCGTGAGAGATCGGTATGTTTATGAAAGCAATTGTATAAAAGATAATTTTACGTTATATATAAATTAATATAGAAGCTTCAGATTGTAGTATTTCGCAGAAATGTTAAAATTCGAAAATTTACATTTTGTCAAATCCAAGTGTTAAACGGTCCTAATATCCCTCTTTTGGCATTTCCTTTTCTTCGAGTTAAAAGTTTTTTCACAATTTGTGTTTTTAACTTTGAATCTTATAGAATAGGTTTCTGTCTGGAAGAGATTTAGTATAATAAATAATATTTTCTCCCTCCTTCCAGTATGCTTTCCTCGTGTAATGGTGGCACACTTGTTGCGCGTATCCGAGATGTTCAGGCTCGAGTCTCGGCAAGGACATTGCTCGTTTTTCAAGCCTCCTGCTTCACAAAAACCTAATGAATATACAAATGGCGCCCGAACTAAAAGGCGGTGGAACTAAATTCGCCAACTCTACGATTTGGAGATTAGGTCCATAATCTCCAGTCGCCCTTTTAAAAGGGGGGGGGGTAAATAAGGTATTTTCTTCCTCCTTCTAGCATGCCTTCATAATGTAAAGGTAGTATACTCAGCGCGTATTCGAGAGGTCCAGGTTTGAGGCCCGGCGAGGGCATTGCACATTTTCCCCATCTCCTGTTTAGGGAAAAAAAAACCTGATGTCCTTTATAGTTTCTTCTTTTGATGTTTCTCCCTTTTTTTATATTTTCTTCTTTGTTAGATTTTTTACATCATAGACTGGCGCTTTTCATTCGAACGCTTTTAGTTGCGAAATGTTTTAGAGTACTCTTACGGTAATTCTACAGTATGTTTGACAAATAATGAAGTAAGTTCATACAAACAGTGTATATACTTCGGCATTTTACCTGCTTTTTACAATGCGAATATCTAATAATAAATATTCACGAAAAATAAGCAGTAAATTTTACAGGACTAGCATTTATAAGTGTGAATCATCTTTGGTTTAGTATTTCATTTCCTGCTTCTCGTACCTGTAATCAAATATCGAATTTATTAATTATGAAAAGCATTTCAAAATAAATAAAAATAAATAAACACAAAATTAATTATACACTACGCATACAGTTAATCTCTTCGAGTTTAAATTTGTTATCTTTTTTTTAAGCTGTATCCTGCAAAAACTGGATATTTCCTTAGTAACTGCCAGTAGAATTAAGTGACATCTTTTCTCTAATTATATATATATACATATAGATTCTTACCTAGCATTCATGATGTAGTACACAATAGGATTATAACAAGAATTCGACATTGCAAGCCAGTAAATAGCTAGATATACGTGCTGGATAAAATGCGTTTGTAGTATATCCTTGTGGTAGTATGTATACAGAAAGTATATGTGATAGGGCAGCCAACAAACAGCAAAAAGTAGCATAATCGCAACCAGCATATGAACGACCTGTAAAGAGAAAAATTCATATCAGAAGAAATATCATCTTAAACACAAAACTACTTAAAAAAATCTGAAAGCTTTCAGATTTTATATTACGCCCAAATGGGCGTTTTTTTAACGTTTTATGTGTTACCTTTATTTATTAAATATCATATCCTTCGCACTTAAACCATAAAATTCAGTTCAACAGCACTATCACAAAATATTTAAAAGAGCATATCTTCAGTATTTCCGATGCACAATCTCGCGCGCTAGAGATAAAAAATATTTTTTCGGGCAGTGTTGTCAATAAAACAAATTACCTATTCCAAATTTGGGGTTTCAGATGCCTATATTCGAGTGGAGGACTACGTTATTCAAAATTTGATGTCTCTAGGTTACCGTTGTTTTTTCACAATGCGAGAAATATACACATATGCAGGGCTCTAATATTTGGTGGGAAAATTTTAAAAGTGAAACGCCACAAAATGCCAAGACGAAATTAATAGCTTTTCTGTTCTAATACCCTTTTTGCTAATAATTGTCATTAAATTTATTTATTAGGATAAAAATAATGTGACTACAAAATTTTGATCCTTAAGTAGCAAGTTCTTTTGAATATTAAGTAAGGTTATTTGTGATTAAAACTGAAATATCGTCGGGAAATGCAAAAACATGAGGGAAATAGACTCTGTTTCTATCCTTTATGTGATATTTCAACAGGATGGAAAAAATAGTGAATTAAGTGTTACGATTCTGAAACATTGTAGCAAATAAGTTATTAAAATGAATGCAGTAATAAAATGCTATATGAAAAAATGACACTTTAAAAGATTTATTTTTGAGAAGTGTAAAATGCATATCCGCCGTCGATTAATTTAGGAAGCAGTTTATTTGTGGGAAGGAAATGCAAATATGATTGCAAATAAACTTCATTAGTTATTAATTTAGTGCTATGATTTAAAAAAAGATTCTTTTACCAATTTTAATATTTATTTGACTGAATTAAAAATTCTTCGTTAATCATTAATGCCCAGCAAAAGCTTTTTAACTCTTCTAAAGATATTTTTGTTAGGTACTGATTATTATTCATTTATGCAATCTAGTTTTAGGATTTGCTATAAAGAGCAAAATACATCATTAGAGATAACTATGCATGTCATAAATATTAAAGTAAATACTCTAGACAAATCTTAAATACACTAGAAAAATGCGAAAATTAGACTTAAAATAACATGCTTTGGCAGAAAATAAACACTTTGGGTATATGTAAATAAGTCGGCACAAATATTTAAATTAAAAAATGATGACTGAAGTAAATCCTAGATATGTGGTATTTAATCAAGACAGATATGAATTACTTCATGACCGCTAATCAGCTGCATTTTCAGATTAAATTATTTAGTTTCGAAAACACAGTAAATAGGTTTTTCGACAGCAGGGGCAGAATTATGTATATTGTTGGTAAACGAATGTTAAAAATTGTAATTTCGAGAGGAAAAAAAAGAGTCGAAAATCTACGATACCTATAATCTGAGATATAATTTGTCACAAAATACTTCGCTAACAATGGCTTCTTCTATTTACGATGATTCAAGTTTTGCCAAATAGAGTTGATTGATTAGTTAATTATGACAAATCATTTGATGTCTACTTGCTTGAAAGATCAGGAGAGGTTAGGTTAGATTATTTATACACGACAAAGGACGCAAAGGCTATTTGCCTAAAAAGGAGGAATACTTTCGTAGAGGACTTTTTAAGGGAAACTTCTCGTATTCAAGATACGTTAGATGGAAAAAACACGAAAAACATCTATGCAGAAAACCTTTTCGATTGTGTTTGAACCCGGATCGGTATTCAGGATCGAACTACCAATAGCCACTCCGCCTCTGATGCCTCCATTTTCTAAAGAAGGGATACCTTTTAATGAAGAACTTTCTTCAGAGATCCTATTGCTATTTAGTATATTTCTTCACGCAGCTGACCTGTTCATCTGACCGCAGCTGGCAATATAATCAATACACTCCGATTTGAAAAACTCGATCATTCATGGGCTAATCCGACGAAAACGAGTGTGATAATGATTTTATAGGTTATAACAAAATGCGAAAAATTTGAGACTTGAATTACTGGCATAAAGCCTGTGGGATATCTAGAACCAAATGAATGCAACCCCAAAGGACTGCATCTCCTGATGTAGACAGTTTATTACTCGGAACATCGGACATCTTTGGTGGTTCTTGAGGCATCAACCGCTAGGAGTTTTGACCTCTGAAATAGGCGTACTTTGAGGCCTTTGGCCGGAAATAGGAAAATAAACGCTTTTGCGCAACTTAGATTAGTATCTATGTTAAACAAATATGAAAATGTTATCTTTTATATGGGAAATTCAAAATAAAGTTGCAACATAATATCAATACATGAAGTAGACTATATATCAAGAAATTGTATTCTTGTGATAAGGAGTAGTAGAGTTTCACACTTTGTTGATATAGAAAAGCAAAGAGTTGAAAATTATTTGCAAAGTATATAAATGCTCTAACATTAGAAGTATATAGTGCGTTGAGAGTAATAATATGGGTGGTATCCGCCGAAAATATCGCGGCAAAAAAAACGCGGACGAAAACGTTGCGGAGAAAACTACGCAAGGCGAAAACGTCGTGGTAATGGAATGAAAAAGAAAAAAGAAAAGATCTCAGTCTTTCAAAAATGTGGTACACATATCGTCGTTTCATAAAAAGGGTTAAAAAAACAATCGTCGTCTAAAATCGTAGGAAAAAAAAGTCCCTTCAATCATTGCATGACTATAACATCGCAGACATGCATTTTTTAGGCTTTAATACTGTAAAATGGATGTATTCGAAAATGATTGTGAGCTCAGATGGAATAAGGACAATTTTACTTTCATATTTCTTACTAACTAATAATATTTTCTAAAAGGAAAGCATGGAAATTAAGCATAGAAATTAATGCATTTACCCTTATAGTTCTCTGACTAGATAGTTAAACTAAAACAACAAAAAGGTTATTAATAAATTAATTTTTATAAAGTTTACTGGTAATTTTTCATGAAAAGTATAATCTAAAAAAGAGAGAAAGAAAGATAAGTAACTGCATGACCGTATCTATAAAAAATTATCCTTCTTTCCATCTTGCGCTCACAAATCGTTATGCGAATATCCATTTACAATTAAAGCCTGAAAAATGCATGTCAACGATATTATCGTCATCTGATGATTTGTAGGTACTTTTGTAGGTACATTTTGTACCACGATATTTTCGACGAGGATGTTTTTAAACTGCGACGTTTTTGAGCAGGTTTATTATCGACTACGATATTTTGTACCACGATGTTTTAGACCTGCGAAGTTTTCTCTTTGCTTTATCGGTTAATCATATAACCGTTGTAAATGAGGACTTAGATTACTAAAGAGTTAAAAAATTGTGGGAATTAGAATCAATTGGATTAAGTTCGGATAAAGAAATCTTTCGATCTGATAAGGAAATTTTAGATCCATTTGAACGAAATACAACTTATGGGAATAAAAGATACGAGACTCGATTATTGTGGAAAGAGGCTGTTGAAGGTTTAAATAATAATTATGAAATTGCAAAACAGCGTTTGCTATTTTTAAATAAAAAGTTTCAGAAAAATAGGGAGCTGTATTTAAAATATAATGAGATAATTAATGAACACTTCAGAGATGGCATAGTGGAACGGGCAGATACGTATTTAACCCTTTCAGGCACGCTACTTTTTAAAGTCGGAGTTTTGATTACAAAAAAGGTAGGCAGTCTAATTAGGCCTAGAAGAGTACACAAGTAAAATTTTGTGAAGATAGCATTTATCGTTTTAATCTGTAGGTGTGCCCACAGATTAAAACGATAAAGTGACAAATTGATTGAATAGAACTTCGAAAAGAGTACTGAACGAGCATTGTTGTCAATAAACTGACCGATGAGATGCGGAGAAACAAAGAATACAGAATCTCAATTGTCCTAGGTTTTCGGTGAGCCCGGTCTGGGCACACCTAAGGTACGCCGTTTGATTTTGGGCAAGATTTCAAGCTATAAATTTAAAACTAATGTAGAATAAGGATATTAGCATACAGAAAAAAATAACATAGAAATTTCTTTTCAAATAATTCCTTTTATACCTTAAAAAATTGGGAAGATTTCTTGAAAAATAAGGGTCTTAAATACTAAACATGGCTAAATATATGACTGGTTTTGTTGGCTGCATTACTATAAATAAAGAAGTTTCAGCTAAGTAACCTATAAATCCTTTTTCATTCAATGTTTCTGTGCATACATCACGCGGCGGTGCGCGAGCAGAAGGATTCTACAAAGGTTCGAATAGTTTTTGACGCTTCTTCTAAAAGTAAGGGAAAATTTATCACTTAATGATTGTTTGGAAAGCGGACCTAATTTAAATCCTGATTTGCTAAAGATTATCATTAAATTCAGGGTACATTCAATTGCGTTTTGTGCCGACATTCAGCGTGCATTTTTAGAGGTAGGCTTAGCTAAAGAAGATAGGGATTTTTTAAAGTTTTTGTGGATAAATGAAGAAGGGTCAAATCTCGATCACAGTACAGTAATTCCAACTTACAAGTTCTTCCAACACAATCGAGTTCCTTTCGGGGTCAAGTGCTCACCTTATTTATTAACAGCTACAATAAGACTGCATTTAAAAAAGTATGAAGATGCCTACGAAGAGGCATGCAGTATGTTAAAAGAGCTTTACGTAGATGATTTAATTTCTGGGACAGTTAATGTAGCAAAGGCCTTACATTTAAGCAAGGACATGATTTTCATTCTTAGCGAGGCCAGTATGAATTTACGTAGATGGGTTTCAAACTCACCTGAGCTGAACTATGGAAACTTAATGGAATTGACTCTCGTGAAACATCTGAAGACTCTTTGGTACCGTTGAAAGTTTTAGGTCTTATCTGGGACAATGTCAATGATAATTTGAAAATAGATGTATCTCAGTTTGAGAAGTTACAAAATCTCAAAGTAACTAA